AAGGTGTTTGGTCTGAGAAGTGTCTGTAACTGTGTCCTCTATGAACATATCATATGTGTATGTTTAACATATATACAAACCTATACTTCCCTGGCAGTAGAAGATGAGGCTTTCTTTTTTAATGGTTTTACTAGCACTTCAGCCACATGTCATACAATTCAATAATTGTAGAGTAATCCAGTAATGTTCCTAAGCTCACAGGTGAGGAAACCTAATGCCTGCATTGGGGGAAGGCATGAGGGAGGATGGGTGGTGAGGCGAGAGGAGATAACATGAATGTCTGCTTCTATAGTGAGACAGAATCAACCATGTGCTCACTTTAAGGCCACCTAGCTGTTAGGGAAGAATCTGTCGGAATGATGTTTAAAGCAGGATAATGTATTTGGACTATCTCTAATTTACCAAAGTGGTGTCTTTTCTACTGTGGAATCTTAGCTTTTTATATTCCCTCTCTTGTAAGTTAGGAATATAGTCCTGGTCATATTTCTCTGTGTTACTTTCCCAAAAATAATTCAATTTCTCAAAAATAATATCAAGAAGAATAGTACAACTCTCACATTTGATTCTAGAACCACCAATGAATTGGCTTCTGAATATATATATATATTCCATTCTTGTTTTCTTGACAGCTTTGTTATCTGAACATCACTGCTAAGTTTTAATTGTTTTTCCCATTGGTGTGGTGGCTGTGAATTGGGCTGCTAACTAAAAGGTCAGCAGTTTGATACCAAGAACTGCTCTGTGGAGGATGAGGCTTTCTACTCCTGTGAAGCGGTCCAGTCTTGGAAACCCACAGGGCAGGTCTACTTTACGCTATAGGGTCACTATGAACCAGCATGACTTGATGGCTTTTGGTCCCACTGATAACATTGGGTTTGTTTTCTGGCTTCTATGATACACCTTTTGTTGATTTTATTTGCAAGTTTGTACTCTAAGTGAGCCCAGTTTATTTAGCAATTAGTACAATTCACTGGGGCAAGGATTTGGCAAGTAGTTGGTAGTTTTGTTTTGTTTTTTAACAAGGTTATAGAAAGCACCTCCTGATGAGGTAGTTAGCTAAGACAGGGTGTTAGGAAAGAGAACAAGATCATAAAGTGAGTTCAGATGTAGCAAACCCACATTGCATTTGATTGAAATAGTAGTGGTTGGACCGATGGCCTTTCTCTTGGGGTCTTTATGACTTTACCATCATGCAAATAGAATAATTTGGGCCAGGTGGTTGTTTCCACGAACTCTTAGAAGTTAAGTTCTGAGAATTAAAGTTACAAGATGAAAAAAAAAAGCTCTTGGCTTATCAGGTTTCAAGAATTCTTATTACTAAGAGAAGAGAGAGAGATGTCTTGGTTACTTACAGCTGTTGTAACAGAAACACAAGGGGACAGCTTTTTAAAGAAAAATGGATTTTTCTCACAGTTCTGGAGGCCAAATCAGGGCCGCAGACTCATTAATTCTTTTCCTTGCTGGCATTCTTTGGTATTCCTGGGTTTATCGTTAATCCTCACAATTTATCTGTCTGCATCCCCTCTACCTTCCTCTCTATGTTCATTTTTCTCTTTTTATAATTTAGAAGTATTTGGATTTAGTGTTCGATTTGGCAGCACATAAACAGAAGTAATCAGATTTAGCATTTACCCTACTTGGGAATGGGCTAATTAACACAACAAAGAATATTCTATTTCCAAACAATCTTTTTTACAGGCTAGGATTTCATGATATATTTTGGGGAGACATAAATCTATAACTGCAGGATTACAAAAGTGGGAGGAAAGTGCTAAAGAAACAAACCCCCAAACAACAACAAAAACCCGCCTGTCTCAAGAGACAACAGAATATGTGATTGGCTTTCATATATGTTTTTTTCTCCAAGTTCTTTGCTTCTTAGTGTTGAAATCAGCTCTTCAGATTTGTACTCAAATTGCTGCTGTGGTAATTTTCATTAACTTTTCTAAATGCTGGTAAGGTTTTTCTTTTAAGAATTGAAATAATGAAAAAGAATCAAAACCTAGGATTTCTAAAATCCAATGATTGTTATTACAGTGCTAAGGTGACCAGACGTCCCGCTTTTGGCAGGACAGTCCCGATTTTTAACAATTTGTCCCGCGTCCCGCGGTGTTTTAAAAAAGTCCCGATTTTTGGAAAGAACGCATGACAAGCTAGGGAACGGCAGGAGATCAGGAAAGGAATATACAGTTCTCGGCTGCCATGCAACTATTTTTCCAGGATATGAGTTTTATATTATTTTTGTTAATTTTTTAATGTTAAACTTTAATAATAACAAATAATTGTTGAGAACTGATTATAGAGAACTGCTTATCAAAGTTTGCATTGTTGATCAGTAGTTAGAATTCGACCACCATTGTTTGGACTTAATGAACAATGGCATTAACATTGTACTGCATGCTAGTTAAACAAGTGATGTCAACAAATCAGCTATTCAGATAATTTAGGTAAGTAAATTATTTATTTCATAAATACATGAATTTTCTTGAATTTAACAGCCAGTACTCATATAATTTATATTTTATAGTGGCGGCAAAATTATATAGACCACATTTTTAATCAAGAACACCCCCCTCTCCCGTCAATGGTGTCCCACTGTACCAATGTTAAAATCTGGTCACCTTATTATTACCCCATATGGGCCTCTATTTCAAAAGCGAGTTATGGAAATCCTGTCAATAACTCTACATGGCTCACTATATTTCTTAATTGTTAAGATTTTGATTGATATAATTTGATATTCTTTAATACATTAGACTAATCAGTATTAAATAGTAATGTCAAAATTATAATATAAAATCGGAATTTGGAAAAAAATGAGGTGATACCAAGGGCTCAAGTAGAAAATGTTTTGAAAATGATGGCAACAAATGTACAAATATGCTCGACACAGTGGATGGATGTATGGATTGTGGTAAGAGCTGTATGAGCCCCCCAATAAAACGATTTTTTTTAATCAGAAAAAAAACTTGAAATAACACAGTAGTATAAGGAAGCTGTACATACTTCTTGTGCTTTTCCATTAAGGTTCTCAAAGATCTTTGCAAACAAGAAAATGCAGTAATTTAAAATGACATACCTAAAAATGTTATTCTAACCAATAGTCCCTTGTCAACTCTTGACACAAAGAATCGCCAGCATGTTCAAGGCACTGAGGCCTCCCACACCCTCAGCGGCCCTGCGATTCACAAATCATGATGCCCTTTCTGATTGCTCCTGATGACGTTGTTAGCCCTGGGTGCTCATTGTCCTACAGGGCTGCCAGGAGCCAGGTGAGTGTTCAGAAGCACACTGCTACCGTTTCCCTGAAAATAAGACAGTGTCATATTAATTTTTGCTCCCAAAGATGCGCTAGGTCTTATTTTCAGTGGATGTCTTATTTTTCCATGAAGAAGAATACGGTACACATTTATTATTTATTGTTTTATTAAAAGAGACTTCACATATCCTGTCTGCTCCGGCTGCGCTGCTGCCAACAGTGAGCTGTGTGCGGCGCCCACTGCTACAGTCCAGAGTCCAGAGCTTAGGGGGCCTTATTTTCGGGGAGGTCTTATTTTCAGGGGGGTGCCTTATATTTCAGCAAGAGGCAAAACTGCAAGTAGGTTTTATTTTCGAGGGATGTCTTACTTTCGGGGAAACCGGGCAGCTCTTTTCTTCGTACGTCTGGAAGGTTCCCTTGGAACCATGGGTGACTCTGCTGTTTGAAAACACCCCGTGGCATCGCTTCCAGCTCAGGGCAGCACACAAGGCACCTCAGTAGGGCAAATGGAGCGGGAAGGCTCGAAGGAATGCCAACCTCCCCGGCCATTAGCAAGGGGGAGGCTTAACCGTAACCTCCCCCAACACTTCATACCCTCACATTCTGGACTTGTTACCAGGAAGAGGAGAAGCGTTTGCTGGCAACGCAAAGGTGTTGTTTGTTTGTTTGTTTTTGTGGCGGCTCTATTATCAAGAAACTCTAGTATCCGTGACTTCTGAGGTCTTTATTTAACCCAGAAGCAGAACTCTTGTGTACCCATCGCGACGTGCAGTAACGGTTGAAAGTCAATCACGAAGTAGCCCGGTTCGTCTGGTTTGGTAAAGTGTTCAATATCTGACCTTGACGTTGGAGAGAACACGCCCAACGACCGCTCCGTTTCCCGCGCAGGCGCAGGCGCAGGCGCACGCCGGCCCCGCCCCACCGAGTGACGACTTCGCCCCGCCCCCGGTCACGAGACGCGACGTCACGTGACGGCCGCTCCACCCCCGCCCTCCGCAACGGGCCAGGCTCACGTGAGGCCACGTCGAACCTAGAGTGATTACCGTGTCCTTAGAACGTGGACGCGCCCCCTTTTTCTTCGTGACGGACCGGGTGCCGACCCCCTCCCGCCGGGCTCCGTGACACGCCGTGTGTACGCGTCCCCACAGCCCAGACCTGGCTCCCTTCCCAGCCCGCGGTCCCCGCCGGCGTGGGGGGAACCATTCGGCCCTA